TGTTTTTTTTTTTTTTTTTTTTTTTTCTTTCCTTTCATTCACGCACGACATAGCTACACGGCGCGCCGAACAACCTTCACACACATGAACAGGCGTGCCGTGTACTAATGGGCATCGCCACACGTGTCTCGAAATGTGCCAAATGAGAATGAACTTCCCCCTACAACATGTCCAGATGCAAGTGCCACATTTTTGTCTTTTGCACATTTCGAGAGGCCCTATCACATGTTTGCACCATAGCACACACACACACACACACACTTGTCCACATTCTCTCTGACACACACGCACACACACACACACACATGGCTTTACTTCGTCTCATTTTCTTTGACACACACGCACACATACGCACACATCGCCATACTTCGTCCCATCTCTCCATTTTCTTTTATTCATGCACACCATAGCTACACGGCCCGCCGAACCACGCACACACACACATGAACAGGAGAGTCGTGTACCTATGACACATGTGCGCCATAGCACACACAAACACACACACTTGTCCACATTCTCTCTGACACACACGCACACACACACACACACACATGGGTTTACTTCGTCTCATTCTCTCTGACACACACGCACACATACGCACACATCCCCATACTTCGTCCAATCTCTCAATTTCTTCAATTTTTTTCCCTTTTTTTTCTTATTTTTTCTTTTTTTCTTAGCAAGCAATGGGCGACGACCTTGACCTCATCTGCCCTAGGCAAGTCATCGTTCCATCATCTGGATTTGAGCTTGGGTCTGTACTTCAATACTTCATGGATGCAGTCATTCAAAAAACGTCCACCCCACAAAACCCGGAAAAACGCGGAAAAACAAAACCAATATAAAAGGCAATAAAAGAAAAAGACAAATCGAACTTAGAACCAAAGAAAAAAAAACACAATCGAAGGGAAAAAAAAATTGAAAGTAAAATCGGTAAAAAAAAGGACAACAAAAAAAAGACACTTTCTGAAAAGAAATGAATCTCCTCGCAAAGTTTTTCTTTTTTGGTCAGAAACAGAACGAATATATACATATATATTAAAAAAAAAAAAAAAAAAGAACACGCATCGACACTATCTTGCTATCCGACGGCGG